TGTCCTGTCACTGGGCACCACTGAAAAGAGCTTGGCCCCATCCTCCTGACACCCACCCTTCAGATATTTATAAGCATTTATTAGGTCCCCTCGCAGCCTTCTCTCCTTCAGGCTGAACAAGCCCAGCAACCTCAGCCTCTCCTTGTAGGGGAGATGTTCCAGTCCCCTCACCATCTTGCCCTGCTGGCCACACTTCTCTTGATGCACCCCAGGATCCCATTGGCCTTCTTGGCACCCAGGGCACGCTGCTGGCTCATGGTCACCCTGTCGTCCCCCAGCACTCCCAGTCCCTCTCCACAGAGCTGCTCTCCAGCAGGTCCACCCCAGCCTGTACTGGTGCCTGGGGTTGTTCCTCCCCAGATGCAGTTCAACCTTGTTGAACCTCAATCAGGTTCCTCTCTGCCCAACTCTCCAGCCTGTCCAGGTCTCATAGCGGGGTTGGAGCTGCGAATAAAAAGGGGTTTGGAAGAGGAGAGGGGATTTCTGCAGCCGGCTTGGTAATAATGGGGTGTGGGGAGGGGGTCACCCCGTTTTCATCCTGGTGCTTGTCCGCAGGGCATAATTCGGACGGGAAATTCATCGCCCGGGCACAGCGGATAGAGTACGACTGCGAGCTGGTGCCGCGCCGCGTGGCCATCTTCATCGAGAAGACCAAAGATGGGCAGATCCTGCCCGTCCCCAACGTGGTGGTGCGGGACGTGGCGTGCGGGGCCAACCACACGGTACGGGCGAGTGTTTGCGGCGTGCTCCTCGCCAGAAATCCTCGCTGCTCGCCTGAGTCGAGAAAGCATGGGTAGATGGATAAATATTGGCAGCGTGCGTGTAAGGATAAATATCGGCAGCGTGCATTTAAGGGTCGAGATTCATAGCGTGCATTTAAGGATAAAGACTTGCAGCGTGCATTTAAGGCTGAGCATTTGCAGGGTGCCTGTAAGGATAAATGTTTGCAGGGTGCCTGTAAGGCTAGAGGTTTGCACCATGTGTTTTAAGGATAAAGTTTTGCAGAGTGCATGTTGGGGTATATAAAGATCTGTGCTGTGCACGTAAGGATGAGGATTTGCAGCGTGCGTTTCAGGCTAAATATGGCGTGCATTTAAGGCTGGAAGTTTGCAGTGTGCAGTTAAGGATCAAGATTTGCAGCGTAGGTATAAGGATAAATATTAGCAGCGTGTGTGTAAGGATAAATATCGGCAGCGTGCATTTAAGGGTCGAGATTCGTAGCATGCGTTTAAGGATACAGATTTGCAGCGTGCATTTAAGGCTGAGCATTTGCAGGGTGCCTGTAAGGCTAGAGATTTACAGCATGCATTTTAAGGATAAAGTTCTTTGATGTGCACGTAAGGATGAGGATTTGCAGCGTGCGTTTCAGGCTAAATACAGCGTGCATTTAGGGCTGGAAGTGTGCAGCGTGCGGTTAAGGATCGAGATTTGCAGTGTGGGTATAAGCATAAATACTTGCAGCGTGCATTTAAGGACAGATTTGCAGCGTGTGTAGAAGGATAAATATTTGCAGCATGCATTTAAGGATAGAGATTTGCAGCATGTGTTTTAAGGATCAAATTTTGCAGCGTGCACATTAAGGATGAAGATTCACAGCGTGCAGGTAAGGATTGAGCCTTGCAGCGCGTGTAAAAGGATAAATGCAGCGTGGGTTTAAGGGTCGGGATTTGCAGCGTGCATTTTAAGGAGAAAGGTTTGCAGCTTGCATGGAAGTATAGAGGTTTGCAGCGTGCATTTGTGGATCGAGATTTGCAGCGTGCACATAAGGATAAATCCTTGCAGTGTCCATATCAGGGTCCAGATTTGCAGCGTCCGTATCAGGGTCCACATTTGCAGCGTCCGTATCAGGGTCCACATTTGCAGTGTCCGTATCAGGGTCCAGATTTGCAGCGTGTGTTTAAGGATAATTACTCGTGGGGTGCATTTAAGGGCAAAGATTTGCAGCCTGTGTTTCGGGATTGAGGGTTGCAGCGTGCATTTAAGGATAAATATTTGCAGGGTGCGTTTAGCGTTCGCAGCACGCAGTGTAATTGATGCTGTTCGTTGTGGCCGCTGCGGCTTTCCCTGCGCCGAGCAGGTCGGGTCTCAGCTGCTCAGACCCGGGTGGATGCATTTCTCCATCCCCAGCTCGTCCTGGACTCGCAGAAGCGCGTTTTCTCCTGGGGGTTTGGGGGCTACGGGCGGCTGGGCCACGCCGAGCAGAAGGACGAGATGGTGCCTCGGCTGGTCAAGCTCTTCGACTTCCCGGGGCGCGGGGCGGCGCAGATCTACGCCGGCTACACGTGCTCCTTCGCCGTCAGCGAGACAGGTCGGGCTCGTGGCGTTTTATGGCGAAGGCGTCGTTATTCGGGGTGGTTTGGGGGGTGCTTGGGGCGTGCTGGAGCTTGACGGGTGGTCTTGGGGTTTGCAGGCGGCTTGTTTTTTTGGGGTGCCACCAACACCTCCCGCGAGTCCACCATGTACCCCAAAGCCGTGCAGGACCTCTGCGGCTGG